TATGTATCTTCCATGCTTAACGCAAAATGATTTAATAACGTAGCTCTTCATTCTGCTTACAGTATGTCAGAGCAGACTTTTTTTAGCGCAGAACATAGCTGAATAGCTTCTAACATTTCCATCGTGTTTTAGGTCTGCAAGATGGTAACGTTTTGAAATTCATCAAGCCTTATCAAAATGATTAGCAGTTGTCTCAAGGATTGGTGATCAGAACCAGCGGGTTTTATTCTGAAGCATGTATGAGAAAGTTTAAAGATACAGACCGAATTGTTAATCAATAGCCTTTACTACTTTGGCAAACCAAGATTTTGTGTAGTGTTAAATTGGCTGCGCTTGCTCTGTTCGCGAAGTGATTCTTAGCCAATGAACAAAGTGACTGGTTTTCTTCCATTGAAGATATTTGCCATTGAAGAATTATTTCGTATTTTCTGGTAGGGCAGTAGTTTTCATTCAGTGCTAATTGGGTGTTTTTCATAGTGTTATCTCAGTATATGTGGATTCGTCCTTCTGGATTTCAAACAGCTATTTGTTTTTTCAACTGTTTTTCGATTGAGCATGTGTGTTGAGTCCTTCTCGCTGACGTTATTTTTCATCATCCAATTTTCCCTAGGGCCAAAGATTACGTGCCGTTCTTTTAAAGCACTTTTCTATGTTTGGGCTGTTTTCCTGATATCCCTGCCACAGCAGGTGAAATGAAATCGCTACTTTTACAGTAAAACCTGGTTAGATCGAAGCAGTTTAACCACGTCTTTTAAGCGTGGTTCGAAATGTTTGAATTTGAGAGAGCGTAAACAACTTTTGTGCAAATATGCCTGAATAATACCTAGAAAAGCTTGACTGGTAAGAAAAAGAGGAGGAAGAGAAAGTGGAAGAAAAAGAAGAATTTTATTCGCTTGGACAGCGTAGATTGGCACAATATGGTATTCTCTCTATGAATGACAATGCAACAGATAATACAAAGACTAGTAATTTGATCAATTTTTAGTTAGTATTTAGTTTTAAGGTTATAAATATGGGTTTCGTTTCGTTTAAATAATTCAAAATAAAATTTATGAAAAATTGGTTAGTGTAACTATGCGTTTCGTTTATGCGACTGATCAGTTCTTCTAGCTACCTACTGCGACTGTGCAAAGCATTTGAGCTGGTTTATTGCAGTTATCCGTTATTTTTTGTTATTGGAACGCAGTTTTATGTTTCTTCTGTGTAGTAGTGGCATTTGGCTATGTATTATAGACTGTATTTCTTATAAAACAATAATTTTGAATTTTCCATAACATTTTTCTGGTACTCAGTGTATATAAATAAATCTTTGGACTGTTACCAAAACGTTTATATTGTGCGCCAGAGGCAAAAAAGTCTGGATCAAAGGTCAACTGACTATGTACATTGTCGCTAGGTCTCTGTCCTTTGTAAGGGCTTTGTATGATTTATTACCTATAAATCCCTTCTTTCTGATAATCACTCCGTTTAAAACTCGATTTATTTCTGATCATTTTCACTGGTGTTTAGGCGAGACATTGATTGGCCTTGAAGCACCACGAGGATTGCCGTCGCCCCCTCGTTATCCAGTCAGTAACATTATTCATGTGCGGTGTCTCACGCGTCCTTTCACCACCAGATCTCTTTTTGAACTGTTGGGTCAGTTCGGGGCATTTTCAAAAGAAGAATTTTGGATTGACGGCATTAAGTCGCATTGTTTAGTGAAAGTATTTGTTTTCGATATTGTTCTTTTTTGAATCACGTATATTCCTTTTACAGTACGACAGCGAAGAAAGCGCGCTTCATGCGAGGAACGCCTTGCACAACTTGCAGTGGCCGCCGTCAAATCAGAAAGTACTGAGAGTAGATTTTGCTACTCAAGATGATGTACTCAAGATGTGTTTTCGCTTTGTGTTCGTCTTTTTCTGGAACTTGCTTTAGCTTGATCGGCATTGTGGCGCAACGGAGAAAAAGAGATCCAAACCAGTGGGCATGCAAGAAGTAGTAGGCGTTCATGTCGAGCCGCAACCTTCGATTTCTGTCGAGGTCGATAGTCATAGGGTGCTGCCCAGAGAACCTCATGCCAGAACAACGTCAGAACGTCGCCAGCCGGAAAACAGTGTCTGGGTATGCAATAAATGTTTTTGTAACTGTTACTCTGGACAGGGAAAAGTATTTATAGCAGGGGATGAATGATGTGATGCATGTAAATGCGATATATTTTATGTACAATAACAAAAATTTTAAGATCTGTTTTGTTTGCTTTCGATATCCAGTTTTTTATCGTTTCTAGTCTTGCTCTGTTGGTCACTTCATGTAATTGCAGCAAATTACATCTTAGATATTCAATCTTACGCGTGTTTAACTAATGAGTTTACTGTATTTAGTCTAACGGTCGCGAATGGGATCACGCGAAATCCTCAGCATATCCTGATCGAAATGCCACGCAAATCAAGCTGGAAGAAGAACGACAGTGGACAGAATCACAGAAAAAGCGTAAAGGAAATGAACCCGTTTTCAACGGTGATTTATCGCCGCTATTCTAGACATGAACGAAGAGGTAGTGTCTCCGGCGAAGCTATTAGACGAATTGTTTCGGAAGACGAAGTGTACGCC